ATGAATGAATGAATAGATGGATGGATGGATGGATGGATGGATGGATGGATGGATGGATGGATGGATGGATAGATGGATGGATGGATGGATGGATGGATGGATAAATAATGGATGGATGGATGGACGGATACGTGTGTCCAACTTAATCAGCTACTAAAACCCATGTATTGTTCGACTATTGAATCAGAAGGTAACTCCTTACCGGTTTAGCTCGGACCGGACTCAGGAAAAAGACAGTCGATATGACTACATCTTCCTTGAATATTTCGCTTAGCAGAGCTGAAGGAAACACTTAATCAAGAGGGTATCCGAGACTTTTGTAATTTTGACTTTTGTAGTTTTGTAAGGTTATTTGTTGTAGGTTCATTTGCAAGTCAGAGATGTTTAAGTGGATGCAAGATTGAGGTTAATAACGATGTCATGAAACATGAAGAGACCTGAAGTCACGCTCAGTGGCCGACTCTAGGAGGATACGCTTTAAATTTCACTTTCATTAGAGGACCAAATTCGGACAGTACAAGTGACAAATGTGTGCATGAATGTGAATGGACAAAATGCATATCTATTTGCCACAACTGAAAATAAAACGAAAGAAAATAATGATCTATGGAAAACCTTTAGCTAAATAAAAGTCAGTAAAGTCAGTAACTTACCACAAGAAAGCGATGGTGACTGGATGTAGGATGTCATATACTGTGCTATACATAGGTATGACGTGGTGTGTGAGACAAGAATAATTCAACTAAGTATTCGTTTCTATATTCATATCTTAAACTAAGGAATATTTTCGGTGTTTACGTTAACAAAACGTGACCTGCCTGACGGATTTTGGGTCTATTTGTTTTTGATTTTGAAATTGATAATACGCAAATGAAGAACAATAAATGTAAATATGACGTCAGAGGAGATGGTCTGAATGATGTCACTACGCTATGCGGAAAAAACAGTTTAGATGGCACACCATAGGTTGTTTAGATCATGCTCGTGTATCGATAGCCTGTTGGACTTGATTTATTTAAAAAATATGACATTTGCAACCAGTTTTGATTCAAATTCATGTTATAACGTGATATCATCCGCATTGTGATAAGTTTGTCCGTTTTTCCTCAGTAATTTCATTTCCGTTAGCCAAAGTTCCTGTTTCATTGAATTACCCATAAGTGAAACTTGCACGAATTTGGTTAATAATGAAATTTGAAAATATTTCACTAAACGAGAAGTGACTAAGGGTTGTATAAAAGCAGGCATTGTAAATCATCGTTAACTAGCAGTTTTTAAAATTGCTTGCTAACTGATTCTAGATCAACGAGATGTTGAAGTTCAAGGAAATTTCCACAAACCTGCCCAAGATTGTTCGTCTAAAATACAGCAAGATGGAAGAATATCAGATCAGTTTTGATGGATAAATCTATCCCTGCTAGAGCAGCAATCACTGAGAAAACCTTGACGAAACGCAGCTGCAGCTACCTGGGTTCGGACCGATTTAGTTGTCTCTATCTTGAACACAACGGCTAGTTACAGTCATTCTTGGCCAAATAACTCATTCGAGTTTCATATTTCATGTGAAACATTTCCTAGAAGCCAAAAGATGATCTCGGTTTAAAATAACTATGTAAACAGGAAAGAATTAATTTAATATAATATTCCTCATAGCATGCAAGCTGGTCGATATAAACTAGGAATAACTTCCTATACTAGATATACAGACTTATACAACATATCGAGAATATATTTGCCATCCAGTCAGGGTGAACAATAGTATTGCCCACGTCATTAATTTAACTGTCGGGTGTTTAAATTTCATTCTTCAGTCTTTTAAATACATCTTCTAGGTTTGGTAAAATTTGCGATCCGAACGACGCATAACAAAATACAACTAATTTATTAATTTAATATGACAACAGATCGATAAACAGCTCCAGCTGATCTGAAATATTGACATAGAAATGACGTCACTACATGTGTCGCGAAGCCTGTGAAAACTGTTGACCACCGAAAAACGACAATCTGTCCACCATTGTAATAAAAATATAAAAACTCATTAGATATTGTGTTACTGTTATCATCCTCTTATTAGCAACGTTTTTTCTTTCATTTGGTGGCCTGTAAATGTATAATTTCAAGAGAAAAAGTGACACCTCAGATTTGCCCAAATTCTCTCGATTCTGATTGACATTTTTACTCAGATCAGTTGGCTATCGTGATGGCCCAACATGAAGCAGCTATAGCGGACAAGTTTTGCTGTTTTTATAAGTCATTGAAAAATATTGAGCCCCTTTAGCGAGAAATTTTTAATATAATATTCTAAAGGTCCGTAAAATCAGACGATGATACTTGGTAATGAATAACTAACATACATGGCCAGTTTGTCCTCTCTTCCCCTAGAAACATCAACATTGCGCATGCTCAGTACACTGAAATGGTTCCTAGGGGTCCCACGTGACAAGCAGAAACTGAAAAAAAAGCCCCGAAGAGAGAATAAAAACTATTGAGGAGAGCTCACCGTCATCATCATTACAAGATACACCATTTTATAAAAGAGGCTTTAGTGGGTAACCCAGTCTTGGGGTTTTGAATTTTGGTTTTGAATTTTGGTTTTGAATTTTGGTTTCGAACAATTTGAATATCATCGATTTTAAATAAAGAAATTATTCATATGATACTAGACTTCAATGAAGAAAAAAACTACTTTTACATGTTTGAAAATATTTTTTGTCATTTAACTCAAACTTGGGGACTACTCTTCCTTAACTTAAACCATTTTTTTAAGAACTAGGAGAAAGCAGCTGCCTGGGATTTTATGCATGCAGAGAGCCTGCAGACAACTTCCTGTTCTAATTCCAGTTTCAAAAATAGAAGCGATTTTCAAAAAAGATTAAATCATTTATTACTACTTCAGTTTTATTTTCAATTATTAACTGTAACAAAGATGGTACGGAGAACATCTAATAATGAGAGGTTCTAATAATAATGGGAGGTTCTTGTATAGCGCATTTATACAACGTCTCATGCAATGCGCTTTACACATTAATGACCAGTGGAGCACTTTACAGGCTGCATATTATTAAGGCGTTAGTAGCAGCCGTGCAGCTTACAATCATGAGTGATTTATTAATACATTAGTGTTATGCCTCCAGACAGGGATAGGGTGTTGAACCGGGAGACAATCCACCCAGTCTTACACGAATAATTCAACAGGTTCTTTTATGTCCCCCATTTTACTGCAGGTTAGGAAGGGTTGGGAGACAGGGCCCTACGGTTTAAAGTCCGTCTTATCCGAGAAGACTTGAAGGTCTAGTGCTTAAATTGTATATTATATATTTCACTTATAATGCAAAACGCCTCAAGCAAGATGACTTTTCGTACCTACAAAATTTCTTTCGGTTGCTATTTTGGTTATGCAAATTTACACTATTGTTCTGGCAATAGTATTCTAATAAAAAAAAAATTGGAAAAGTCGATTTGTGGTCAATTTAAGTATGAAACGTAATTAGGGTTAGGGTCTATTTTTGGTTAAAAAAAAGTTAACAACAACTACAGCACGACAAAGAGAAGAAGGGAAATCGGTCTGGCCCACGCTCTTAATGTGCATATATCAGAAAACCATGAAGTAAAACAGTATTGCACCAACGTGTGAACAGGTATATTTACCAGGTTAAAACAAATGATTTGTGTAACTTTAATTTCAACTGAAATGCAATTGACAAGAGAAAGTCAGAGAAGAGTGTTAAAGAAGAAAGTCTAGGAATAGTGACTGATTTTTCGAATCAAATCCTTACCTTAAAAAAATTAACTGGATGGAAATCGCGAGCAGTCGATAGAAAAGGGAGTTCCTCGTCCGATGCTGATCTACTTTTTAACCTTATCCTACAACAGATAACAAATCTCTTTCTTACTCACCTTCCAGCACTTCTCAATTTTCTAAAACCGGTTTAATAAGAAGAAAACAAAAACAAGCAAAAAAACCGTTCCAAAAAATAAACAAGCTAGAGAAAGTAAAACGAGACGAAGTCAATGTCGAATAAATGTCAAAAACAATTAGCAAGATATCGATCGAAAGTCAAGTAGTCAAGTGCTATGATCTTGATAAGGATAAATGGACAATTGAAGTAATAGACAAGTAGTATATCTCTGTTCTCACACCATCCGCCCACACCTTACTTAAAAACCTCATCAAAATATCTGAAAATGAGATGATTTATGACGAGTTTTTGTAATTATAATACTTGTCGAAGGAGATGAATTAGCTGATAAGTGCTTGTTGCTTCGTATTTCGGCTTGGAAAGCTACGACTAGAAAATTGAGAAAGAAATAGAACTATACAAGATCTTTTTTTGAATTGAAGTGTTTAGACAATAAGAAAGACACTCAGTACAAGTGCTGCAATATATCGAGCTTTCTAAAAGTACTGAAAATATATGCTTACATCTATATATATATATAGATATAGCACAGGTAGCCCAAGCTTGGTTTCTGTGGTGTCCTGTTATAAGGAAATGTATGGGGAATCATCAAAAATTTCAATAAAATCATCAAAACGTGAAATAAAGCCTCGAAATTTTACCTAATCATTGAGAAATAGCACTTCTTTCGCTCTGCGTGGTTATTTTTTGAATTTAGCCCGTTTTAAGGATTTTTTTCCCCAAAAATAACCACGCAGAGCGAAAGAAGTGCTATTTCTCAATGATTAGGTAAAATTTCGAGGCTTTATTTCACGTTTTGATGATTTTATTGAAATTTTTGATGATTCCCCATACATTTCCTTATAACAGGACACCACAGAAACCAAGCTTGGGCTACCTGTGGATATAGATATAAATTTTGCAAGTCATTTAACAGATATATTATTCTATTCTTTGTAAATTAAAAATAATGCTATATGTAATTAAAGGATCAAATTATTTTCACACTTGTCCGTTATGCGAGTGCTAAGATTTTCACACCCATGAAAATCTATATGAGGAAATGAGTAACCGTTGCATACAGAGTTGATTCGTTATCTCCATCCATTAGTAGTTAGCATCAAGAGTGACTGTGTTTGGGGAACGATTAAACCGCTCTTCAGTCAAGAGAACCACCTTAATGGATACTTATTTATGTCTGAATAGAAGTCCATCCCATACATATGGAGATTTTATCTTCAAAATATTTCTGTCTGATTTGAAGGGAACAGGAAGTTGGGGAAAAACATCGAACAGCATTCATACAAATTTCGAGTTTAGATGAAGACAAATATCGAGCAGGACACCTCACTGTTATTAATATACAAACAGCTAATATTTGAGAACTTTGTCATTAAAAAAAAGAACTGCGTCATTAGAAAATGCCCTGTTTGTGTTTCAAAACGAGAGACAAATCCTATTCCTAAAAATGCCATCATTTTTGACTGGCTTCTCAATTAGTTTTCTTCAGGTAAACGGATATTAATGATTCCGGATATTCACTACTTATCTACGTTAAAGACTTGAAAGGGTTGGATTACCGATAGATTTTTAAGAAAGGCGCTTTGTCGTGACAAACTGTTAATATAATGGTAAAAATTAAAAACAGGTTAAATAAATATACACTCCACGCATTTAAAAAGAGGTAGATGATTAAAAACAAATGCTATTTAAAAAAAAAAAAAAGATGAAGAAAGAGAGGAAAAGGAAAAAGAAAAAGAAAAGAGAGAAATAAGAAAAAGAATATAATTGTCTAAGAAATGTCTAAGCAACATAATGAATCCCAAAATGATTTTAACGAATTTAAGAATTAACCAAACAATTAATCGCGGTTTTTTAGATTAATTTTTTCTTGTTTATACTGACTAGTGTATTTGAAAAGCCTTTGCTTACAACCACGAGATATTAAAATATATATAAACAGGATTTTAATGATTTTAGGTAGTGCAAAATTTATTAAAGTTATGAAAAAAGTTCACATTGTGTAGCTAGTATTTTGTTTTTCCATTTGTGAAGCAGTTAATAGCTTTTCTTGATTGTAGTCAGTGATGAAAATGCAGCTTAGCAACATCTTGTTGTTTTATTTCTTTATTGAACTAGTAAACCGCAGCTTGCTTTCTACGTAGAACGTTCGCGAAACTGTGAAATTGGACTTTAGACTAATTTTAGCAAAGACTTTAAAATAACATCAATATATGAATGCAAGATCGCACTTGAGAATAGAGTCCAATATAGAGAGTATTGGACGGAACTTAGGTGGTAAGTCGATTTCTATCAAAGCCGTACGTTTAAATACAATAACTAATCTCTTTCTTTTTTGGCATTTTTTAATTTAAAAATGAGAGAAAATTGAGAGGAAGAAAGAAATGTTGAAGAAAATCTGTGATATTGGCCAACAACCATGTTTAATCACGAAGCTGTGGGCATATCAATCATTCATCAAGAACCTTTCAAATTGTTCTTGGGATACGAAAAATTTGCTCACCCATAACTTATGAATTTACAACACTCTGTTAAAATATAGACATATTCGTAGACTTACCTTTTTAAAAAAAATATGGCTGAAAACGCTGAGACAGCTATTACCAATTCAGATATTTACGTGTGCTTGTATTCAGGTTAACTGAGTAAAAAATGAATAAGTTAGTGTTACTGTCCGCACGTTCGGGTTTTGAAGGCATGATTGTCAGGTGAAAGTGTACATGTCACAAGTCAAGGTCTGGAACAAATTTAATTCATTAATTGGATATTTTTGAGGTTTTTTTGTAATAAACGTTTTGTAATAATTTTGCCAGACGAGTAATTAGATCGTTTATTTGTTGATGGTTGGGACATCTTGTTTGCCGTCCCATTACAAAATAAACTTCTGAATATGCAGAGCTAAACGTGTTTCGTAAAAGTCATGATTTGAGCTACATTGATTTGATGCGCCTATACATTTGACGTATTTAATCAAGTGGAACCTCGACTGGAAGCCATTGTTTCGTGGTCATTTAAGCTAATTCGAGAAACGACGAAATCAGTTTAAGAGAAAGAAAGAAAGAATGAATGAAAGTAAGAATGAAAGAAACTAAAAAAAAACAACAAATGAATGAAGGAAAAGAGCAAGGAATCGAGCTGTGAGTTCAAAGACATATGAGTAATTAACCTTTAGATTTATATATTTAAATAGTCACATCGATTCCTGACATAAATAATGAACAAGATGGTAGGTTACCTTTGACAAAATTAATCTAATCTAGTTCGATTATTTCCCTTTTTTAATAAGAACGACAACGGAACAAGGAAGGACAGCTGCTGCTAAATTTATTAAAAACCCTTCAAGATATAAACTTTTCGCGTCGAGATTTGCACACAACTATTTTCTTTAATTTATCAATACCATTCTCGCCTGAAATTTGTTTTAAATAAGTTTCCAAAGCAACTTAACGAAGATAAGAAAATTTTCAGGTTAGGAATCGTGCATTTATAATTCTGCTGTCCTTTGACAAGTCCGTTCGTATCAGTCTGTAAGTCATGTTATGAGTGTAGAATAACCTGAACTAGATGTGTACTTGCTCTAAATTGAACTGTGAAGAGATGGTTCTTGTCGAGTCAAGAAAACAGTGATACATATACAGTAACACTGAATACTGGGCCATACTGAATGTCCCATCACTGACCAACACACACAACGTCCTCAACTCCAAATTTGGTCAAATTACGAACTAAAGATTGGCATTAATCCATTATTATAGTCTAAAACAAAAAGTAAAAACACTCACCAAACGTCAGGAACCTTTAATCTTCTCTCCTCTTCACACATGTTCAGACGTAGCTCCTTGTATTGAACTGAAAGCTGAATATTTATAAATGAATTAATCATAAAAACAATATAGTGACCGCATCCAATTCACCATTTGTAAGCGGAAATTGCGTATTCTTGACAGTAAATATTGGTGCTCAAGATAATGATTATTCAACAGTAAAAATAAATAACTAAAGGGACAAAGTTTGGTTTTGATGGCCAACACAGGTTGGACAGGTTTCATCTTGTCATTACGTAAACACCAATGTGTTCCTTGACTGTTGTCTCGTTAGAACAGGTTTTGTCTCGTTTAAAAGATGATTCATTCAATTGTAATGTAAAGAATGTGCAACTTGAACAATCACGAGTGTTTTAAGTGAAATATTTTGTTTATTTTGTTTTATGAAATTTCTAGTTGTTCAACTACGAAAACTACTGTACTATATATGATTCTTCCCATCTTACATATATGTAAATATTACTTATTTTCGTCTTAAGGGTGTAGGAGCTTGTTTAACCTCTGAGGTTGTTCTCTTGCACCCCCCACAAAATTCGTAACTTATTCAATTTATGTATGTATATATACTTTTTTGTGGAAATAAAAAACTGTTGTAACTGTTGTAACTGTTATAGTATCCATGAATCGGCATAATGCGCTAAACCTGTATTAAAGATTTTCAGTTGTAAAGCACTTATAATAATAATAATAATAATAATAATAATAATAATAATAATAATAATAACTTTATTAATGTCTCTAATCTTCTAGCCGGGCACAAGTGCCCTACTAATCGGGGAGACAAAAATAAAATAAAATCAGTTCAACGTACCAACGCAGTCCCAACCAGTAACCTCTAGTCATTATCATCCAGTTATATCTTGTTATTGTAAGCTAATTGTTCAGTCAGGTCATCACCCTGAAGAGCCGGGGACGAAAAGAGGGACCAAACAAAGCTTGGGAGTTGATGGATTTCTATACCTAGATTTAAGTCTTGAAATATAATTATGTCTTTAGTGTAATTGTTATAAAGTATGACAGATGTAATGCAATAAACACAAAACAGTTGACGCAATTGGTTCACAAGCAGAAGGTCAAATAAGTTAATAAGTGCAAAAGACGTTGGTGCAATAAAAACAAAGGTGTTTGGAAACTGTCACAAACCAGTTAAACGACAAAAGAATAGATAGAAGAGTTTTTTCTTAAGTTCAAGCAACCGATTACTTGTAACTACTAATGACAATGCAACCAAAGTTCTCTTTCTAATTCAGTATAAATTACCCCTGTAATCCTTTATTGAATATTCAAGGCCACGTGATTCAGAGATCTGCTCTCAGTCATGGAATGAACCGCTGGACCAAATGATCAATGTACAGGGATCCAGATGCTGAAATCTTTCCTTCATATTCGCAGACAGCCTTCTCATATACTTGATTCAATACTGAATCTCATTTTGGTTTTAGTTTTGAAGAAGATCACTTTTTCATTACTTCTGTGGCACCCGTCAATTAATCGAGTTTGATTACTTGTGCTTGTGGCCAATATAGCTATGTTGTTGCTGTGGTGATGGTAGAAGGTTTGCCAGCCAGCTGATGGGTAGTGCTTTTTGTTAATAAATGAATGACAAAGATTCTAGAAGTGCAACTCTTCCAGCTCATTACTGGACCAAGTGTTATTTTACGTCTTTAGTCATTTTTATTGCTTACTGTCAGCTAACTTAACAGTGAACCTCTATTATTAAATACAAGATAAAAGTGTAAATTAAATAACGGCTTCACTAGATTTTTTTTTAGGGTTTAATACCTAGCTTTCGGCCATGCATCGTTACAAAGATTTGCAATTAACTAAGACATAAGTTGTTTACATATGTTAACATATGTCTTTTATTGGAGGGAGTTGGATACTTAACCTGTTAAATAAAATTTTGATGTCAGGCATTAAAGATTCTGAAATTCATCCGTAATGCGTTAAATCTTTCTTTCTCAGGATGAAAGGTGAATTCGAAAGCACGCCGGTAAATTTAATGAATATAAACTTAGCAGTTCCATAATTCTCATTTTTAGGTTTAGTTTTAAAATTTTATTTTTCAGCTGAAAATGCACATAATTAGCATTTATGAAATTAGTGTTAGTGAGTGACAGTGGAGCAAATCTGAAACCAGTATACATATACTGAATTTGTATCCCGCTGTACGTGATTATAAGTATATAATATATATATTATAAGTAATTTAGTAATTTTATTTATCTCGCTGCTTCCTGTTGCAGCTGTTTAAAATTGAAAGTTTATAAAACCCAGTCAGTTCGTAATTAAGATATCATGTCTCAAGTTGCAAGGCGGCCAGATCCTAGTTGCTAGGATACATAAGCGGGATAAAATACTCCTCAGTTCGTAAACAAATTTTGATAGCAGTTTTGAAGACAGTCCAAAAATTGACTGAATTCTATTACAGCTTGCAGTAGTTGCTCAACAACGATAGGTTTTTAAAAACCTCGTTACTAGAAAGCTCCATTTATTTTATTTACACTGGATGTGACCAAACGCTCTCAAGGTAACCATCACAATCGATTGATGTTTCTTGACTCTGAAGTGAAAGATTTGTAGTTCAAGTACAGTATAAGGCCATACAGTACTGTCATAAACATCTGCCGGTTGCTAGGATAGTAGAATATTTGTAGTTAAAGTACAAGGCCATGGTTTTGTTTTCGATATAGCTGGAACTCAATATCTTCAAAGTCCAGTCTAGCATACTTGAGATTCTTCTGATCTGCCTTGAATCGTGCTGTGTTATCATTATCAAACACCACTTGATCCAAATTAAGATCTGGATCATTGTCATTGAAACTCGGGTTCTCAAATGTCAATGTCTCGACTTTCGTGTTATCTTCCACAGATTGTGAGTTCTTGTTATTATCAGGAGAATTGATTGTGTTTTTATTGGCGTCTTTTATCTCATCCCTTGGGGAAGACGCTTCTCCGATAATAACCTCAGTTATATCGTCATCTTCTCCTGGTTCAGGGGCACTGTTGAATGACGGGACATTATAATAGTCACGTGACTCATCTACAGCTGTGGGGTCAAAGTAAGGATTGTCTCTTGTCATCATTTCTTCAAGTTTTTCACGCAAGTCGACAAAGGTTGGTCGATCTTCTGGCATTTCTTTCCAACAACTGCACATGATGTTATACCTGTTGAACAAAGAAAACCGCAGTTAGTAAATGGTACACAGAACTAAAGAAAGTAGTTGCTTATTCGACATTCGAGGAAAACATTGGCATTGGTTTGCCAGCTCAAAATACATATATATTTGTGGTAGACGATGTAGCTATGTACTATCCTAGTGTATAACCAATTATGATACATAATGTCCCACTTACAGTTCAGTGTCACAAGTCTCTGGTTTTTCCATTCGGTATCCTTCCTTCAACAGTTTTAACAATTCTCTGTTGTTAATACTTGGATACGGTGTGCCACCTGTTACCATAGAAACAGACAGTGAGAACCCTTAAGACAATATTTCCTTCTTAGGCAGGAAGGAAACCATCTTTAGCCAATCTATTTTGCTGTGGTCATATCATTTTATGATTGGATGGGATGAAACTAACCGGAAGCCATGTGAATGTCACTATGCTAACGCATACCAGACCATAACTTTTCTACACGCGCGGTAGGACAGGTACATGGGCTGCGTGTAAACATCCCCTCCCCATATGCCTAGGAATGTCTCAAAAATCCGGAAGGATATTTTTTGGGGGATCAATCGTTCATCCCATCACCCTGAAAGTCCTAGCACTGCTACACGAGTAGTTGCTTCAAACAAGGTTCTACATCCCTGCTATTATTCTCGTGACTTACCTAAAGTGACCAGTTCCCATAAGAACACACCGTACGCCCAACTACGACAAAAGAAAACAATTCAGTACTGCCGTGAGAAGTTTCAACCTAACTACGCTTTTGGCAATGAGTAGTTTGGTAGGACTTTACGCCGCAGCGCGCCACTTTAAACAGTTCATTGGATTGCACTGCCGTGATAATATCCGGAATGAATAAGCAAGGGTGAAGGGATTATTGTCAGTCGAACCAGGCTGATCTGTTGTTTTTTTTCCTGGTTAAGAGTGCTAATTTCGGATGATGGTCGTAATTTTGATGACAATGAATGAAGATGATGATGATGATGATGATGATGATGGCCGTAATGTTCATGATTATGAATGATGATGTTGATGATGATGATGATGGCCGTAATGTTCATGATTATGAA